ACCGGAACTCTTGCGTCTTCTGGTGAGAGTAGTATTTTCCAATGAACTTGGTATACACTTGCTCCCAAGTAATGAGGGAGTCGGGAGCAAGTGTCATAAACCAAGCCTTGGCCCGGTCTTTGAGTGTCTCTGGGAAACATCTCATCTTCAGCTGGTCTTCATTTAAGCCATGGAGAGGAAAAGTCTGGAGGACGTTATAGAACTCCCGAATGAAATGAAGTGGGTCCTCGTTGGGTAGACCATGGAAAGACGGCAGCTGATTGTAGTGGATGGTTTTTAGCTCATAGTTTCGAGCTGCTGGTCCCAGCCGGATACACGAAGTTACTGGCCCGATTCTCGGTTGAGCCAATTCACGAAGAAGATGGCGAGGTGGGTTGTTTACTTCCTCGTCAGCCATGTCTCTTGTGTTATCGGAATCTTGGTTGGCTGAGTCTGAAGATTCAGGGGCAAGGTTAGCCAACAGTTCTTGGAGGTCCCTCTGGATGGATTCGTTATTCGGGATGATTACACGACCACTTCTGGTACGCATAAACAAAAACAACAAAAACGTCACGGGCACCATATAAGAAAGAGACAAAGAAAAACAAAACAAGAAAAACACTAGAACTAATCACGAAAAACGAAACAAATAGAAACACACAAAACAAGAAATCACAAAAATAAGAGAAACACTGAAAACAAAGTGAATAGGCGCACAAAATAAGTCCTAAACCCTCCCCGGCAACGGCGCCATTTTGTTGTAGTTATTTTTACCGGAGTAGAATCGAAAGATTCGTCCCCGGGTCGTATCGCAAGGAAGGTTAGCCGGATTATTTCGTACGTATATTCAATCACAAGAAGAAGAAATTAATTTCCTAAACACTCTAATACGATGATTTTGATTTTTAATTATCGACTACTAATTCTCAAATAACGCAAACGGATGAGAATAAATGACTTAAAACGAGTTACTTATCAGTATGAGAATGCTAGGGAATCAGGGATGATTGCTCTCGAATTCAATGCCAATACCAAACTAAGATTGCTCAGTTAAATAATTCGATCAACCTACACGTCTAGAGATTATCCTCAATAACTGCTCGTAACAAGAGGGAAAACATAGACGGTAAATCAAACCAATCAAACAACACATAGGCAATACAATCACGAACAAGCCTACTCTAATCGAGCCTAGATCAATCGACTTCTCCCTTTTCGGTTCCACAAGCCAATTAAATAGGTCAGGATGGTGATCAAGCATCTAACCCTAGGTTGAATTCAACTCGAATAGATCGAACAAAAATCATAAGCAAGGCAAACACACAAATACGAGTAATCATCCCCTATCCCTAGCTCAAAGATTTAGCCACTCATGCCAAGATGAACACCAAATATTGTATACAGTAAATAATCCAAACTCATAGTTAAATGAGAAGAAAACTTACGATAGATAAATAAAAAGTGGGAATCTCAAGCACAATCCAAATCTACGATGAAATCCTTGGGTGTCACTCCCAAAATCTCAAAGATAAGCAAAGGTAAAAGGAACCAACGTTTTTCGTCTGATAAAAACGAGAGAAAAGTGAAAAGTGCAGAATGAATTCTAAACCCTATGCTCGATCCTACATAATAGCGAACAGTTTCAGCGTTCACAAGATCAGACGCCGCGGCGTGAAGCCTGCCGCGGCGCGGCGCGAAGGTGGTCACGGCGTGAGGAGAGAAGTGCAGCGGCGTGAAGAGAGAGTTCGTAGCGGCGGGGGGGTTCTGACACGGCGCGGCGGCGATCTCGTAGCGGCGCTAGGGGTCTGACACGGCGCGGCGGCTGAAGGACTTGGAGCCTCTGTATGCTCGTGCTGATCGTCGCGGCGTGGCAACCATCGTGGAGCAGGGACGTGTAGCGGCGCGAGGGACGTAGCGGCGCGGGAGAGAAACTTGTCCATCTGAAGGCCCGTTAAGGGTGTCACGGCGCGAGGGCCCGGCGCGGCGGTCTGGAAGGAATCTTCTAGCGTGGCATTAGGAAAGCCCACAGGTGCTTTGTGAAACCGGGACAACTCAGCTTGGTAACTTCCAACACTTAGGTCAAAAATCCGAACCTGCACACCTCCAAGAACAAGAAAATATCCGAAAAACAGAGAAAACTAACGAATATACAAAAGTAACATAATAAAAGCAAAAACACGAAATAAACGACTGCAAGACCGAAAATCCTATCAAAAGACCTAAACCGGGGGCTAAAAACCTATAAACCATTAAACAAAAAGATAACAAAAATAGGACAAACACAACGCAGGAGGTTCCCAAGAGAATGTTTGACGGCCTCGGTCTGACCGTCCGTCTGCGAATGATAGGCGCTACTGAAATGAAGCCGAGTGTTGGCGAGACGCCACAGACTGCGCCAGAAATGGCTAAGAAACCGTGTGTCGCGGTCGGAAACAATAGAAGATGGGAGGCCATGTAGATGATACACCTCCCGAAAAAATAACTGAGCGACGTGGAGGGTATCGGTCGTCCGCTTGCACGTGAAAAAATGCACCATTTTCGAAAGCGGTCCACCACCACAAAAAATAGAATCATGGCCCCGCTGCGTGTGCGGCAAACCAAGGACGAAGTCCATGCTCACGCCAGTCCACGACTGCGACGGAATCGACAATGGTCGATAAAGACCGGCGTTAGTCTCACTTCCCTTAGAAACCTGGTAGACCCCACAACGTGCAACAAAGCGAGAAACGTCATGGCGTAAAGAAGGCCAAAAGTAGGATCGTTGAACCAGCTCGACCGATCTATCACGACCCACGTGACCAGTCCCATGCAGCTAGGCCACCAACTGTGAACGCAAACTGCATTCCGGGATACACAAACGCACGCCTTGGAAAAGAAAACCATCGGCAAGAACAAAATCCGGGACTGGCCCCGTCGCCAAGCGTTCCATGATCGGGCCGAGGAACACGTCAAAAGCATAGATATCTCGAAGCATGTCGAAGTCGACCACCGAAACACGCATATCCGATATTAACAGAGAACGGCGGCTGAGGGCGTCGGCCACACGATTAGAAGCCCCCAACTGGTGCTTCAACACGAACGTGAACTGCTGTAAGTAGGAGGTCCACGTGGCATGGTGTGCCGAGATGTTGTCCTGTGAAGCAATATGTCGCAATGCCTCATGGTCAGAAAATAGCACAAACTCACGCTGAAAAAGATAGTGCCTCCAATAACAGGATGGCCCGGTAGACGACATAGAACTCAATGTCGTAGGTGCTATAACGAAGTCGAGGACCAGAAATCTTCTCGCTGAAGGTCGCGCGTTCTGGCTTAGTACAACGCCAATACCAACCTTGGAAGCGTCACAAGAAAGCTCAAAAGGTCACGAGAAGTCAGACAACACCAAGACCGGAGCAGAAGTAAGTCGCTGCTTGACCAACTCAAAGGCCTCGGCAGCCTGCGAAGTCCACACAAACGACTTCCCGGCAATGCAATCCGTGATAAGTGTCATTTTTTAGGCCATTTTTCGAGGGCTAATTATTTAGATTAGTGCCCAACCCTAATGATGGAACTCCAGACTCGTAATTTTCAATTTTTTCCACCTAAAAACACTCTTTCAACTTGATTTTCATCTTTGATTTGTTCTTTATATTTCGAATTAAGCTTGTATTTTGGATTCAACTCTCGGTTTCTTCATCAATTGTAAGTTATCCTTTTATTTTAATTATCGAATATGATTGTTTGGGTTGTGGTGATTGATTTTGTTGAATTCAATATGAGTGGCTAATTCGATTTGCTAGGGATATGAGATAATGTTTTGGATTCAATTGTATATATCGTGCTTGTTGATCATTCATGGGAGTTGCTTTTAGAAGGGTTTATCCCTGAATGAAGAGTGAAACTTCAACTTTCAATTGATTTTCTATTGAATATGCTTCATTCGGGTATGATGTTGTTAATTCTAATAGATTAGCTTATTAGCCATCTTCTAGTCTAATTTAATCAACTTTTACAACCGAAAGGGGAGGACTTAATCAATATTGGCTCGTATAAAGTAGGCTTGTTCGTAACTGTATTGCCTATGCGTTAAACGACTAGTTAATTTTCCGTTCATGTTTATTCTCTTGTTACGAAAAGTTATTGAGGATGAATCTCTGAACGAGTAAGTTATTCGAGTCCTTTAACTGAATGGTCACTTGCCCGTTAACTGTGTTACGGACCAAAAAGATTATCCTCGACTCCCTAGCTCCTTTATCATCGTCGATTCGTGTTTTTGAGTTGATTTGGAAAATTGCGTTTCTAGAATTTTTTAACTGATAATTAAAGCCAATATTTGGATTAGAGTATTTAGGAACTTATTTTCTCTTTTCTGTGGTTGAATACATGCACAAGATATTCCTCCTAACCTTCCTCTCGAGAGATCAACTCGGGGAACGAATCATTCGATTTGGTACTTGGTAAAAATTATAATTTGCTACAACAACAACCAATCTGCATATTGCCTAGGGTTAAGCACATTTTTATTAACATCTTTCTTTTTAATAAGACGGTTTCTGTCATTGTGCCCAATCCTACCATAGTAAAAGAAAAATTTTGGAGATTTTCATACCTGAAATCAACTTATTTGTTTTTTGCCCCCGATTTGATGTTTGTCCCTCGGGAAATGGTATGTTTTACCTTCCGTTCAACCAAGACCTTGTTCATTCATACTCTCTGCTCTGGAATCTGAACATCCGTAACTCCTTTGAATTCCATAAATTCTATGGAGCCATCGGATGGTTTTCTTATGGAGCCATTCACCACTTAATGTATTGACACCTGTCCAAATTGTATTTATTGTAGGACACGTGTCAATACACTATTGGTGAATAAGTGTGAATGGCTCCATAAGTCAAGCCATCCGATGGTTCCATAGCAAAACTGAATTCTTTCTATTTTTAAAGAAGTTTCAGCTGCAATCCAGTGCAGTGACAAATTATGGATTTAGACTCACATTCTAATCTTCTCCTTCTCTTCTGAAAACTCTGTGCACTCTGAATTCCATGGCTGCTTATGCAGCTCTTGTTTCTCTCAGGCATACCATCGAACAGCTACAACACCATCCTCGACCTCCAATTTCTCTTCACAAATCACAAACCGAACTCATCATCGAAAATCTTACTGTCTTGCAAGATTTTCTCGAGAATCATTCCACTGATGAAGATGCCCTGGAGAGACGCATGGCCGATGTGGCTTATGCAGCCGAGGATTTAATCGAGATGCGTATCATCGACCAAATTCAAGCTGAAAATGTTCGTGTCGAGAAATCCTGTTTCAGTAATTTGTTTTGTGGATACACAAGCCATGTGGCGGCCGAAGTTAGTCTCATCTCCAACGATGACTTGTTGTATCAGGGTCTACAAAAAGTGATACACGCCCTCGATTTCATCACGAAAGAGGTGAAGGATATAAAAGAGAAAATGGAAAAAATCAAGTATGATGATTTTTCGGGGCCGGGTGATTTTTACCTAAAACGATCTCCTACAATGGTGGGTTTTGATGATGTCATGATTGACGTCATGGATAAGCTGACCAATGGGCAATCGAGCCGCCAGATCATCATACCTATCGCCGGCATGGGAGGGATTGGTAAGACCACTCTTGCTAGAAACATTTACGATAATCCTGTAATCGAGCAATACTTTGAATATTATCGTTGTTGGGCTACTATATCTCAAGAGTACAGCACAAAAAAAGTTCTTTTACAACTCCTCCTTTGTATAAAAACTCGATTGCGTCTACAAGGTTTGAGCCAAATGAGTGTAGAAGAATTAGGAGACACGTTGTATAAAAGTCTATTTGGTCGAAGGTATCTCATCGTCTTGGACGACATATGGAGCATTGAAGCTTGGGATAAACTTAGAATTTTCTTCCCATATAATGATGGTGAAAGTGCAATAATGGTGACCACTAGGATGTCAACGCTGGCTTGTCAATTGAGTGAATTAAGTGGCTCTGATGTTTTGCAGATGAGTTTTCTCAACAAGAACAACAGTTGGGATCTACTCTGCAAAAATGTTTTCGTGGAAGAAAATTGCCCTGTTGAATTGGAAGAAATCGGGAAGGAGATTGCTGAGAACTGCAAAGGCCTACCGTTGTCGATTGTTGTGATTGGGGGACTCTTGGCCAAGTCCATCCAAACACGAGAATATTGGCGTCACATTGCAAAGAACTTGAGTTCGATCGTGAACTTAGAGGAGAACGAACGTTGCTTTAGAATACTGAGTTTGAGTTATAACCACTTACCGGTTCATCTAAAGCCATGTTTTCTTTACATGGGAATATTCCCCGAGGACCACAATATTTCGGTCTCCACACTCGTCAAGTTATGGGTTTCCGAAGGATTTCTAAAACCAATTATCGGCAAAAGCTCGGAAGTAGCTGCGGAAGAGTTCTTGAAGGAACTCATGGACAGGAATCTCGTTTTAACTCGTCGGATGAATTGTCTCAGAAATTTAAAACAGTGCGCCATCCATGACCTTCTGAGGGACCTATGCATAAAAGAAGCAGACAAAGGGAAGTTCTTTTCAGTCGTGACAGGGAAAAGAAGATGTAGTCTCGACGTACTCAATCAGCGCTGTATTGGTGTACACGACAACACGTCTCGAAGGAAATCATTCATCCCTCGACCAATCCGTAAAGCCATGCAATCCAAATCGCTTGCTCGTGATTTAAAATCCGCATCGCTAACTCGTTCTTTGGTGTGTAATACCGACGGGGCTGTAATACCGTCTCGTAGTTTTAGATTGTTGAGGGTATTGAACACATTCGATAGTTTCTTTTTCGCTCAACATGAAAGACACGGCACGTATCCCATAAAACACATTTTCGAGCTCTTGAATTTGCGTCATCTTGCCATTAAAACCAAAGTGCCCAAATTCGATATTCCATCCTCGATTTACCGGCTATGGAATTTACAGACGTTGATTGTAGCCAATTCGAATTGGATCGCGTTTGATACATCGCCACTTTTAGACATTTGGAAGATGCCTCGACTGAGGCACGTCAAAATCCTCGGGCTCAGGCTCCCGAACCCACCTGTCGGAGAAGAGAATTATTTAATTCTTGAAAACTTACAGACCCTTTTGGAAGTAAGGGATTTTAGGTGTGATGAGGAGACAGTGAAAAGAATCCCGAACGTAACTAAATTGAAAATACAACTCACGGAATCATCTGCAGGAGCCAACTGTCTCGATAGTCTGGCTCGTCTAACTAAACTGGAATCCTTCAATGTAAATGGGCCAAATAGGCAGGATGAGCTGCTGCAAAACCTCTGTTTGCTGCATTCTTTGAAAAAGTTGGGATTATCTGAAACGGGTCTCGGTTGGGAGGACATGGGGAGGAGTATAGGTTCGTTACCCCATCTTCAAGTGTTGAAGCTGAGTTTCCACTCGTGCGTGGGCCCTGTGTGGGAAACTACAGAGGGGCAGTTTCAAACCCTGAAGTATTTGCAAATTCTATCGAATTTTGATCTGGAATGCTGGAGGATGGACAGCTGGCACTTCCCGAGCCTGGAGAGCCTTCGTCTTGTAACTCTATTCAAGTTGAAGGAGGTGCCTAGGGAAATTGGTGATATACCGACGCTTAAATCGATTGAGGTTCTTGATTGTCTTGACTCTGCTGTGGTGTCTGCCAAGGAAATAGTGAATGAACAAGGAGATCTTGGGAATGAAGGCCTTCGTGTGAGACTTCTCTACGGCAATGGCCAAACTCAAGTAGATGAGACCTTAGTGAGCAAGGCTTGCTGAATATCAATTAAGAAATGGAAGTGGAGAACCTGGACACGTGTCTTAACGTGAAAGGAGATGATTGTATGGCTTGTTTGGTAATTGGATCAATTCTAGGTTTTTTTTTTTTTTTTTTTTTTTTTTTNGTACCAATATGATGTACAGACTGGGGTTGCGCTCTTGGAGTTGATTACAGGTCGGAAGCCTGTAGATACATCTCAACCGCTCGGGGAAGAGAGCCTTGTTGAGTGGGTAAGTCCACTAAGAACTATCATATTTTATGGTTTCATTTTCACGAAGATTTATTTCCCCTTAACGGCATCTTAGCACTTGACTTGTGTAGCTTCATTAGGCAGTGAGCATGAGGTTCATTACTGATGGTTATTTTTAAGGTTTGGGTTCTGTCTGTCAATATAACTTGATTATTTAGACCATACACATGTTTTCCCTTCAGTGACAGCGTGTATCATGGATTTAAATTGGATATTGACTTGTATTTCTTTCGGACGTGAATACTATCAAGAACATATTTAATGCTTGTTTGGAAATACTTTTCATATGTACTTTTTGTATTCAAAAGTCCATTTAAAAAACAATTTATGTTTGGTGCTTATTTGAGAGTAGAATGTATTGATAAGAAAGCTTTCCAAAAAGTTCATTATGAGGAAGTAAGATATGTGACTTATTGAGAACTCTGTTATGCAAAAATGTCCATTTAAGAAATGGAAAGTACTCTCAAAAGAGCAGTTGAACATATGAAAGGAATTGACCTGGGTGTACCCAAATCTATATTTGTTGAGAGGAACATATACGAGCTTGAACAACGTAGAAGCTTCCAACAAAGAATATGTTATACTTATCTATGACAGTTTATTTTTTTTTCTTCGTAGATCTTTTGTTTTTCCTTTATTGATATTGACATTGTTTCTCTTTCAGGCCCGACCTTTATTAAGTCCGGCACTCGAGACACTGAAATTTGGTGAAATAGCAGACCCAAAACTTGAAGGAACCTATGTTGACAATGAGATGTTCTTATATCTTCTCACGATATTTTAGAAACCTTGTCCACTCCTGGTGATTGATCAAAAGGATACTGCTAGTGCACAATACAAGGAATAATTGACAACCGATAAAGAATGGTCCAAAAAATATTGTTCTGCATGTTATACTATGTTGTATTGCATGCATAATGATCTTAGGAGGATGTGAATTTTTCTCAATGGATTGATTCGTTTCCAAGTTTCTTCTCCCCCCTTTCTTTCTCTCTTCATCTCTTCATCT